AAGTGATCGCCGTTACACAATTGACAGAACTTTTGACGCTTTTCATTACTTCTTGTAACTCTTGTGGCAGTGTCTTCGTTGCTAATATTTGCTGGTGAATCAATCAGTGTGTTCCGATGACATTAAGTGACTCATTCAGTACCAAACGTTAAAATCCAGATCGACATCCTAGCCTAGTTGGATCACCATCTGTGCAAACCCCACAAACCTTTTCCCCAAGTGATCTTTCATAAATAAACCGTGTCGAATACATCATGTGCAGTAGTTGCCGTTTTTTCAAGAGGTTTTCAAAAAAGAAACTTATCTTTAAAGTTGCCATCATTAATATTCCTCATGTAAACTAGTAACTGTGAACAGTTTGCAACGTCTGTAGATTCATTAAGCTGGATACTAAATATTGGGAGTGGAGGAGATTTAATTTTCTGGAATACCTGATAAAGATAAGTCAACATACATGTCATCTATTCTTCTGTAGACAGTGTCGTTAGATAAGGAAATTACACTCAATTTCGTAACAAATTCGTCTCCGAACATAACGTGCACAATGTCTTTGGCCGCTGGCAAGAGTAACTCCTCAGCAATTGTTTGAGGTGCCATAGCTCTGGCGATTCTGAGTGCCACCAAATATGAAGATTTATCGGCTGCTACGTTTTGTTTGTGGTACTTGCCACCAGTGTCAAGTCTGGCTTTCTGTAGTCCATCAGCCTTATTTCTAAAATAGTTGGTATCCTTGCCGGCAAAGCTGGGATGCTTGCTATCAAAATGGCGTTTTAGTTTGTTCATAGATATTCGGCTCATAGAACTTCACAGCAAATAACACAATGCGGTTGAAAACAATGCAAACACAGATATATTCATACGAGCATACTTTTTATTTTCCGTTTTATTTATTTGATTTCATTACTATTTTATCAGTCAATCATTGATTTTTAACAATTTTTATCAGAGACGTAATTTAGTAAGCCGGCATGCTGAGCTTACTCTCATACAGACACTGTAGTACTGATTGCAGACCTGTTTACCCCCAAACTCCTAAAATCGTACAATATGGTCTCAAAATCGTACAATGCAGTATTTTGATAGTAAATAAATAAAAATACATTATATATAATGTATACAATAACTACTCCTATAGCGTGTTCAGTGGAATCGAGCTGAGCTGGCGTCAAAATATGGAACTGTAAGTAAACAGTAGATGACTGACGTTAACGGCAAACTGCGGTCACTTTGTTTAGCAGACGTGTATCGGCTAATACATATTAAAACTTGACGTCAGATAAGCATAAAATAAAATGTATTAAATTAAGAATGAATTACCAGTTAACAAATTGGAACCCCCACCTTTTTTGTGTGTGCCGTACAGTGAGCTTTAAAACACCAGCCCAGAACCCCCCCCCCAACCCCCCATAAACTTAACAAAATCCATTGTATATTATGATGTTACAGTAAACAAAATGTGACACGGGTTTTCACTACTGGTGATTCAGCCCAGTGGTTCCCAGAATAAACGCCACATCGCCTTGGGTGCTCGTTGCCCTCGGTGGCTGCGGCTTCCTCATCGGGGCGTTGCGAAATATTTTTAAGAATTCATTATTTTATTTTCACTTTTAAACCAATGTGACAACTTTCGGTCGTGGTGCAAACAGTAACTCACTAAGCAATTGCTGTTTGCATTTCCCGATGGCGCTCAGTGACCTACATACACGTTATATTTATTTTTATCCAACCTTTATTTTATTTGTGTATTTACAACTTTCGGTCGTGGTGCAAACAGTAACTCACTAAGCAATTGCTGTTTGCATTTCCCGATGGCGCTCAGTGACCTACATACACGTTATATTTATTTTTATCCAACCTTTATTTTATTTGTGTATTCGCTATTTCGAATTGTACATGATAGAATTCAACACAGGGAGCCTGGTGAAAACGTAGTGTGGCATAGGCGCAGGGAAACGAAAATTTTAGAACCACTGGCGTAGCCCACCGAATTATACGTAACACGTGGCCTTACCATTCGGTGGACTAAACATTACTGTAATTTCTCTAATACTGAGTTTAGGTATAGCTAGCGAGTTCATTTGTGAAAATACATCTTGACAACATCACGACGGTAATTCCTGCAAACTAGAGGCTGACCGAATTTCGGCTTCGGCGCCGAAAGTGGCCATTTTATCACTTTCGGCCAAGTTTCGGTTTCGGCCGAATCTGTAAATTTAACTTTCGGCTTAATTTCGGTTTCGGCCGAAAGAGAAAAGTTAACTTTCGGTTTTTCTTCGGTTTCGGCCGAAATTGACTTAGACTTTCGGCCATCCGGCCGAAATTTACTCAGGTTTTCGGTCATTTAATACTAAGCGAAAGCGATATTTTACAACAAACTAAGCGACATTT